GGCTCAGGTCTAATGGTCATCTTCTTGCTGACCGAAGCAACAGCTGGATTCGGCATCTACCTGGGTGATTGAGCAGCCCTCTTTAGGACCACACTGCTCACCTCTGTAACAAGAGGAAGGGGCTAGAAAAGATGCCCTAAACATTGTTTCTTCACAGAACCCTGGCCAGCTTACCGCAGCTGGAGGGGATCCCATCTTATGCGGTTGAACAACAAAACTGCAAACAAAATGAAAATGCAAGGTAACACCACTGACTACTGGCACATGGAATGTATGCACACTTCAAGACAACCCCTCAGCATATCGACCAGAAAGAAGAACAGCCCTGGTCACCAGACAGCTCGCAAGATTTAACATCAATATAGTGGCCCTGTGTGAAACTCGCCTAGCCAACGAAGGTCATCTCACAGAAACAGGAGGCACATTCTTCTGGTGTGGACGTAGCAGTGACGAACGTCGTGAATCTGGAGTTGGATTTGCGGTTAAGAATCATCTTGTCCCAATACTTGCCATCTTTCCAAGGGTGTGAACATCATCCTGATGGTACGTCAGTTCCACAACAGCATGACAGCTCATGTTTTGGACGACGGAGAAGCTTCAGAGGCCTTTCCCGTCACAAATGGCATCAAGCAAGGGTGCGTGCTGACACCGACCCTGTTCAGCATAATATTTTTGGTCATACTGACAGATGCCTTTCAGAACAACTCCTTGGGAGTCAGCCTGAAATACAGGACCGATGGGAAACTGTTCAACCTGTGAAGACTCCAGGCTGTCACCAAGATAAAGGAGACTTGTGCTACGAGACCTCCTTTTTGCTGATGACTGTGCACTGAATGCTGGATTAGAGCAGGAAATGCAAGCCAGCATGGACAAATTTGCAGTAGCATGCAACAACTTTGGCCTCCTCATCAACACAGAGAAAACCAAAGTGATGCATCAGCCAGCTCCGAAAGCCCAATACCAAGAGCCCACCATCACAGTGAAGGGACAAAAGCTGCAAGCAGTGGACCAGTTTACATACCTTGGCAGCACCCTTTCCCGCACAGTGACAATTGACATCGAGGTCAACTTCAGAATCGCCAAGGCAAGCTCTGCATTTGGCAGACTGCAGACCAAAGTGTGGGACCGCCGTGGAATAAGCCTTGTTACAAAGCTTAAAGTCTACCGAGCAGTAGTGCTAACTACTCTGATGTATGCCAGTGAGACTTGGACAGTATACAGGAGACACGCTAGGCAATTGAACCACTTCCACACGACTTGCCTCTGCAGACTTTTGAGGATCCGGTGGCAGGACCAGGTGCCAGACACAGAGGTCCTCTCCAGAGCAGGCCTGCCATCAGTTCACACCCTGCTGATGAAAGCCTAGACATGCTGGGCAGGCCATGTTGCAAGGATGCCAGACCACTGCATTCCCAAACAGCTCTTCTATGGTGAGCTGTCTCAAGGAAAGCGATCGCACGGGGGACAAAAGAAGCAATACAAAGACACGCTGAAAGCCTCTTTCAAGTCCCTGGTTATCGACACCACCTCCTAGGAGACACTGGCACAAGACCAATCGACATGGCGCATGCTGATCCACCAAGGCTGCCAAACTTCTGAATCCAGAAGGACAACCATAGCACAAGAGAAGCGAGCACTCCGTAAAGCCAGAGTTGCAAATGTTGCAACAGTGGTGCCCACACATGTCTGCCTGACATGTGGCAGAACACTCCGTGCCCGTATCGGTCTTATCAGCCACCTGCAGACACACCGTGGACAACTCACAACCCATTAGATGTCAAGGTCCTCATCGAAAACGATGGACGAAAATCATGTACTATCAAGTTCTAACTTGTGGCAACCCTATGAATTAATGCTCTCCAAAATGCCCTGCTCTTGACAGGTCTGCTGAGCTGTAAGCTCAAGGCTCTTTAGATGAGTCAATCCATTTCATAGTTGATCTGCCAGTTTGTCTTCTGCCTTCAATATTCCCTAGTATGATGGTCTTCCATAGTTAGTCTTGTCTTATGATGTGCCCAAAGTGTAACAGCCTCAGTTTTGTCATTTTTGCTTCCAGGGAAAGTTCTGGCTTGATTTGATCTAGGACCCACTTGTTCATTGTTTTGTTTGTTCAAAGTATTCACAAATTTCTCCTCCAGCATGAAGTTTCACACAGATCAACTTTGTTCATTGTCCAGCTTTCACACCCATACACAGTAGAAATGCAATAGTGTGGATGATCTTGGCCTGGGTCTTCAGTGAAACATCCCTGCATGGCATGGATTTTTCTGGTTCTTATATTGCTTCCACATTTCAGTCTTCTAATTTCTCGGCTTCAGTCAACCAATTGATGGTTGAGCCAAGTATGTAAAATTTTTCACTATATTAATTTCTTATTTGGTGATAACAATGTTCTGTAAGTATTTTCTAGTTATGATTTTTGTTTTCGTAATATTTAGCTGCAGCCCTGCTTTTGCACTTTCTTATTTCACTTTCATAAAAAGATATTTCAATTCTTTGCTGTTTTCTGTATATCTTAAATTACTGATGTATCTTACACCAATTTTCACTCCTTCTTCCTTTGATCCTAAGCCAGCTTTCATTATGATATGTTCTATGTACAGATTGAACAGAAAGGGAGATAAAATACACTCTTAGCATAGGAGTGGCCAGACTTCCTCAACAGAAGAGACACATACAGTAAATGTCAGTTGTTGAGAGCTGCAAGTGGGTGCGCACGGGTGGCAGCAGTGAATGGCAAGTGGGTGCCCATGGGCACCCCAGGTGGAAAGCCACAAAATAAACTTAAAGAGCTTCATGCAGCTTTAAGTCTCAGTTTGATTACCTCTGGTATATAGGGAACTATTTCTTTTCTCCATATTCTATCCTAACAGTAGCTTTTTGTCCATGATACAGGTTATACATCAGGACCATGATGCATAGCTGTACAAAGCATAGATTGATCGCCTTTTGAAATTCTTTGGTGCACTACAGTAGCCAATTTCAATAAGGTTTTGAGTACTTCTTTCTTTTCAAAATCCAGCTGAATGCCAGACATTTCTCTCACTGCATGGGGTAAAATTCTTTGTTGCCAGCCCTTGAGCATCACTTTGTTGCATGTGAAATTAGTGCAGTGGTCCTAAAGCTGCTGCAGTCTTTGGCATCTCCTTTCTTGGGTATTGAAATGCATATCGAACATTTCCAGTCTGTGAAACATTATTTTGTTTTCTATATTAGTTGACATATTCTTGTTAAGATTTGAATTGATTCAGTCTCTGCAACTTAGAATTGTTATATCGGAACCCTATCTATTTTGGGTGTTCCTGGTATGTTTGTAAAATTAGAGAATAAGCCCCACTGAACACAGGACTGCTTTGGAGTACACTGCATAGGAATGTGCTGTCTTTTTATAACAAAAATTTAGTAGTATGAACAGTGTTTTGTGCAGGTAATTATTTTGCAGCTTTATAAAGAAGTGGGGGCTCTGCCAGTCATAATTCCAGTTTCCAATGTTAAATGCAGTTTTTAATGTAACCTGCATTCCTGAAGAGATCATAATCTTTGAACTGCAATGCACTAATGGTGCAGCCCTCCACATATTTACTCATACCATTTTGTGTAGTTGATTATATTTAGTGGCTGCATCTGCAATCTGGTGCACGATAACTTGAGAGTTAGCTGCACAGAACTCACTGGGTCTTATTTCTGAATAAACATGCATTGGCTTATCCTGTAAGACTTGTGCAGTCTTGTGCACATTAAACTGAATAAATCCTTTGTGAATTCAGTGGAATTTTCATCTTCATATACACACAGAATTATATTTAACAACAATCAAATAATATCTTGCACTTGCACACAAACTGTTGCATGAGCAAGCTACTCTCTCAGTCTTCCACAGAATTCCATAAAAATCCTCCATACTGAAGTGGGCACATTTGAGTATGTTCTGCATGAATGTAATTCTTATCAACTACCATTTATTTTTACTGAATAATCCCAGTTACAGAAGAGAAAGAAAAACTATCCACTTTCTTCATATCTGGCATAATCTTATGACCCTTTTTCTAAGCTGTATAGCCACAACATTGTATTGTTCCCACAAAGAGAAGTTGCCCTAGCCAGTTGATCACTTTGCTTCCTCCTTTTGTATCATTTTCAGCTCTACAATTTTGAGATGCAGCAACCAAAATTTCTGTAAAGGCATTTGTATAAATCCATGATCTGTATAAACACATTGTGGTACCAGTAATTTTGTTTTTGATTCCTTTCCTAATGATTCCTAAGATGGAATTTTCACATTCATCTGAGAAGTCAGTTTCACACTGAGTTGTTTTCATCGAATTATCTGCTACAATGCCAAGGTCATGCTAGATGCCATAAATGTTTTTACTCACTATTAAGTGGTTTATCAGGTGTTGTGAACAACTATATTCTTAGAATATGATGTTATCTGAGAACAAACTATAGATACACTTGTTTTTTGAATAGCATTTCTCCTAATAGCAACTTGCAAAATGATACAATAGATGCCCAAGACCCAGTAGGAAAGGAAGAGGACAAATATATTGAGGGTGCAATTTTGATGCAGGGGGGGAGAGCCGAGTCCTTCAGTTCCCAGAATTCCCTCGATGCAGCCTGCGGGAATACTGGGAACCGTGGACTTTTTTTCCTGTCAAATTTCCTGTAGCCTTGTGCTCTTCTCAGTATTATTCAACTTGGCTCTCAAAAAGTTACCATTGAGCCATTGTATCGAGGGAGCCGTATCAGCAGGTGGCGTTCCCGAGTAGATGCAGTGGAAGAATCTCGCCTGTCTTTTGTTACAAGCATGATCTACTTCCAGCTGAAAGCCATAGAGAGGATGTGGGAGGTTTGTATTCACGGGACCATTGAGTTGTACAATTAAGAACGCCGCCTTTCCCCGTCTCTATGGTTCGCTAACTTCCGGCTGTTACCCGGATGGGCTAAGCGGCCAGACTCGCCCTCTCCCTCCACCCCTATGACAGACGGTGATTGGCTAGAGCCGTAGCCGGCACAGCTGGGTGATTGGTTAGTCCAAGAACGGCTTTGAGCGAGGTGGAACGAAGAGCTGGCAGGACTTGGCGGCTACAGTCGGGACTAGAGAGCCGCCGGCAAGGCGAGAAGCTGGTGAGTTTCTGTACAGACGGTTTCTCTGATTTCGTCGCCCAGGACCTGGTTGGGGCTTAACGACTAAATCCTGTCCTTGGGCGCTGGGGGGAAAGGGACATTGGATCGCCATTTATGACCGACTGGGCTCGAGAGCGCGTGCTCAGGGCGCTTGAGGCGCCCGTGCGGCGCCACTGCCGCCTGCTTCCCGGCAGTTCGTGGGGCGAGGGGGAGTAAGAGAGACGTCTGCTACAGCCCCCTTGTTCTTTGATAACCTTGCTGCCGTTTAAAGTCTTCTTATAAGAGGCCCTGATCCGATACAGGTCACAAACAGTAATGGGGGCGGAGGGTGCCTCTGTGCGTGAGCAGTGTTTTTCCTTTCAGTATTGAGTAATCTCAATCCGACAGCGCGTTTTCAGGGATAAGGCAGAAAGGCCTGACTTCCAGAGAGGCATACACGCGAGCGAACCTCAGGTTACTAATTATGCACGGCTCTTTATCGCTGTCAGGTGAAGGGTCAAAACGTTCCGTCATCTGAATTTCCTCTGGACGAGCGACGACCTTTAGGTTAACCTCTGATGGGGTCAATGGTAACCTTGAGAAGTTCGTTTCCTAGCTGACTACTTTCTGGGTGTGCTACTCCGCCTACTGTGGCCTAGTGCTTTGAACTTTTGCCTGCTAGCCTTCCGAAGCTGGGACCCAAAAGCAAATCTGGCAGGGGCACGATATATGGCCTGAATCCTTCATGAGTATTGAAATTTGGAATTTAAATGGACACATTTTCTGACTCCACTTTAAAATAATTAAAAATATATTTCGTTAACCTAGACCTTGTTTTAAAGCTTGAAATGGAAAGATCAGGAATTTCAGATGGCCCTTTTCATAGATTGGCGAGGAATAAAAGAAGAGGCTTAGAAAATGGTTTTTTTCAGTTAAGTTTACAGTAATACTTTTTAAAAGCAAGTATGCTACTAGTGGTACTGTTAAAGTATATATGATTGGAGTCATATCTGTTGAAGTGTTTCAAAAAATGTAAATTACTGTTCTGTGACCTAATACTGACATTTTGAAGAATATTTCTAAGGATACAGGGAAAGAAATGTATAGTTCTGTTGAGCAAGATCATGTGGTCTACAATTTTTAGAAGAGTTCAGACAAAACTTTTGGGAAGGGACCATGAACTGTGATAGAGGTCATGTTTTACATTTAGAAAGTCCCAAGTTGAGTACCTGATACCCACAATTAAAGGAATCTTATCAGGTGATATTAGATCTCTGCCTGAGATTCAGAGTTGCTCTGTGTAAACCAATGGGTTACATGAGAAATAGGCAGCTTCCTATGTACCCTTGTGAAAACAATGCTGAAACTTTTTCTAATATTTTTTGTGTTGTCTCAACTCTTTGTTATGGTACGCTTGAGCAGTCCTTGTATATTATTACACTTATATGTTAGGTTTTGATTGCAGTTTGCCTATCTCCAGTATAGTTAAAAACTTTCAATTTGTTTCATTATCATAAGCATTTACAAAATTTAAAACTGTGAGCATTATGCCTACCAAAAGAGTACTATCCTTCTAACCATCTAGCTGAAAATAAAGCTTGCCAAAATAGATTGCAGTTCAAGAGAATTGGTAGAAAAACATGTCCAAATGCTTCATATAATAGTATTGCAATTGAATATAATGCACATGTGCAAAACGGATGATTTAGAATAGCCAGTTCTTGCCCTTAACTAGTTATTTGCTAGATGCAGCTGTAATTGGGATCCGATAGACAAGTGGAAAGTAAGCTGGGATTGCTTATATACCCTAAGATATAGTGGAATGGACAATAATATTTTAATAAATTACATTGCATTTTAGTACTTTAATATTGCTACAAATACTTAGACTGCTATTTCTTATTTGTGAAGCATGATGTAAAGCTAAAACATACAAGTAAGAGCTGCTTGTGGATTTGCAAATTAATTAGGACATGTGGCAGGGAGAATAAAGGACATAGGAAGAGCTGTGGATACATAAAACCAAAAGTTGCACTAATACATCTCTGTATACATAGAAAGATTAAGGTTCTTGTTTCCTATTATCAAATTAGGCATTTGCATTTTGAGGCATAGGCACAGAATTTTCCATTTCACCTTTGGTATGACATTACAGTTTTAGTTTTACTACTGTTACTTTTCATTTATTGGCCTAATTCATTCTAAAATAATTGTCTTACCTCAACATGGTCACCCAACCATAAAAAAGAAAGATGTTTTGATATCCTAAAAATTATCGCATTTATTGCAGTATAAGCTTTCATACACTCCTCTTACCTAAAACAGTTTATGAGTGATAAATTACTATTTTGCTGCTACAAACTGATGTAACTATGTCTTTGATATGTAACACTTATCCATCTAGAGATTTAGGATGGATAAAATAAAATATACCAGCCAAGGATGTTGTCTGCTTTGACTGGACCGGCTCCAGATTCTCAGGAGAGAGAATTCTCCAAAACCTAATGCTTGAACCTTCTAACTGTAATTGCTAAGAATTGAACCTGCGACCTTCACCTTGCAAAGTATGAATTCTACCACTGCAGGCAATTTTCTTGGTCTTTATTCAACCCACCACATTCTGTCTGTGCTACCATAATTCTTTAAAGCCCAGACAAACAGTTTAAAGAAACCTTGACTAGATCACGTTGCTGAGAAAAATAGTAGCATCACATACTTTTCCAGTGTCCTGCAACCTCTGACTAAGAGTAAGAATACTTGTGTATATAATCACCCAGAGCCACACAGAAATAAGGGTGGTAGGAAATGTGGCAAAAGGAGATAATTATGAATCAGGAAGAAAATAGCTAAGATTTTCCCAGATTTAAAATCATGCAAGCCTTAAAAACTTCTATTTGCTGCCGTTGACTACATGTGTCATCTTTATTTATTCCATGAATGAGCTGCAACTATAGCAGTAAAAAGTTGCTGCAGTAGTTAATAATATAAAGCACAGGAACTAACAAAAAATCAAACTGGCCCAGTTCGGGGAGAAGCAATCCACCTAGAAGGTATCTGCATGTTTATATGTAAGCATATCTTTCTTTCTTGAAACTATCCACATAGCAAAACACTTTGGAGTTCAAATGAGTCCAAAGAAATAGTACCTGTCACTAACAATATTGGAACTGCTTCTTCCAGCTGAAAAACTGACAACTAAATAGTTGCACCCACATCTAAAACATGCCATAAATGGTAAAGCCCAAAGGCATTGTGACTAAGATTGCCTGTGCCAAGTTTCCCCATGAAGATCTTATTACCTTGGAGTTATAGACTGTTGACTGAAACAAACTTATAATGAGAGTTGTATTAAGTACAAGTGTTCTTGCGGGAGATCTTACAGTTGTTTTCCATTCCCCTAAAATATCCGTTTTCTTTTCCTGTTCAGTTCATTGTTTACATTATGCAGCCAAGTAATTTGTCTGGTTTCCAAAATACCTGTGTTCACGTGAGCAAATGCTTCTAGCTCATGACAGAGAGTAAGTTGAGAAGAGTAGGTATTTTATTTCCTAGTGACATACATGTTTACTACAGAAGGAGGTTCTTTTTCAAATACCACAACTTGAAGTGTATTCTCCTTTTCCACATTACTTATTTATAGACATATCTAAAGTTCCTGGATGTCAAAGAAATAAGGATTTCAGGCTGTTTTAAAGATGAAAATGCTAAAATCTAATGCTCATTAAAAACAGCTCCTAATCAGCTAATGTTTTTAATTGTCACAGTTCTTTTACAGTTGAACATTGCTTCAATCACCTGGTTGGTATTGCTTGTAACAGAGGGATAACATATTCCATATCTAATAGATTTATGTTCCATATGCGGTATATTCCCATTTTTTCCCTACAAGCACTTGCTTTCCTACATTGAGGATCATTTATGAGAAAACTGCTTGGCAGCTTTTAATGAAATAAAGGAGGTTTTGCAATTTACAAGTACTAATTGTGTTTCTGTTAGGGAAATTCTTGAGTCACATCTATTGTTGCTGTTTTCTAAGACAATTTTTCCTCTTTTCAGGGCTGTATACAAACACTCAATGTTTACAACTGTTTAATCCTCCAGGATGGCTATGGAACATTTGGCCCCCAGCAAACCAAGGTCATTAGGTTACAATACTCTACCTTGTACTAGATACTCTACTGGAATAAACACCTGTCTAGAGTGATGTTTGAACAAGCTGGGTCAACTATGGAATCAGTAAGTATAATCATTCATGAAAGTCAAGCATTCCTAACTCCCAGTGACCTAAAAAGCACACTGTTAAGTACTTAGGTTCCATTAGAATATATGGAATATAGGCTTAACTAACATTCCTTCAATCAGAGTGGACAAAATACAGGCCACATGAATCCCCACCACCACCATTTTGACTCTGCCACGATGCTGCAAACTTCCCTCATGTTTCCTTTAAAACAAAGTGTGTGGGGATTACTAGCATTGTTTTAAAGGAAAATTGTGTTCCTGGAAGCCCCTGCATACTTCGTTTTAATGGAAAAGTGTTGGTTTTCTGCAGCCACCCCACCACTTAATTTTGGCAGCAAATTTGGTGGGATAGCTTGGGCATGCAGCTCCTTGGGGACAGGGAGAGCCAGAATTGGCTCCCAGACTCACAGGCATTGCCTAGCTCTGGGGTTGGCAACCCGCAGCTCCTGAGCCACACATGGCTCTTGAACCCCTCTGCTGCGGCTCCGTCGCTCAAAACGCCGGCCAGCACAGCTGCTGATTTGCTTGAAGCTAAATCAGTTAAGTAAATCGCTACATTCCTCTGCTAAACAAACTTCCTGCAGGCTTTCATGTTACACGAAATGCTGCTGAAAAGATTCTCTTTGTCCCAGTGTAATCTCCTTCATCTGAATGTTAAAAGCTGCGCTTGGGACCTGTCACAATTCACAGCACTTGACTGTTTATCTGCTAATCGGTCACTAAACACACCTATATCTCTGGCACAGCCGCAGATTGGCAGACCTGGGCTGATTTACTGAGCTCCCCCCCCCCCCACTAGGCCAACCATGGATAAATCAAAGAAAAGCAGTTTCTGAAGAAAACCAAAAATTTAATGGTACGTGGGTAGATTCATTTGCTTTTACTGCTGACAAACTTATGGGGTTTTGCTGTTTAATGCATGCAGCCCTTTAGCACTGACTTTGACTCTTAGCTGTTCTCCTATTCAAAATACATGAAAGGAGTCCTACTAGTTTATAATGTAAGATTAAAAATAACAGTTTTTAGTGACTGAACTAGAGCTGCAGCTAAATCATAATGAAGATATACATAGCATTAAGGTAAAAAACGATATATGCAGTGTTATCTTCATTTTAGATGTCAAAAGGATTTTGCTGCTCCTGGTGTTTTCTTTTGTGGGGGAAACGGGTCCAAATGGCTCTTTGAGTGTTAAAGGTTGCCGACCCCTGGCCTAGCCCAACTAATTGAGAGAATTGCTGTGATTGAGGGGAGGTGTCATTTTAGTGTTGGCTCTGTGTGTCATTGTGGTTGCATAGGCATTAAATCTCTAGTCGTCTGTCTATATGTGAATTCCAGTGTAACCCACACTGCCTTTATTAAATTTGCACAGGTTTATTGTGCAATTTGATGAATGTTTACTTAGAAGCAAACTTCAGTTTGTTTACTGGGGGTTACTTACCATGGGAAACAGTTTGCGTCACATTGAAGTCTTGATGTAGTTCTACCTAACACATGTGGTTTTCATAATATTGGGCACACAGTGTCAGACTTCTGCATTTTTTCTTTTCAGTTGCTTTGGTCGAGTAAACCTTATGGTCCAAACAGAAGTATTGTAAGGAAAATTGGTACCAATCTCTCTCTGATACAGTGCCCAAGGGTTCAGTTTCAGGTAAGAATTTGAATCTTTGTTTTAAACTGAGGGAGCTACTAGGACTACTAGATGTGGGATATACTTCTCCATCAAAGTATTTGATGGCTGTGCCAAATAGCTCAAATGGCCAGCAGCATTAGTTTTTTTCTAGGAGTAAACTTGGGTGACATATGCATATTTAGGCAGGAAAGAAAATCTGTACTTCTCAGCACTCCAGGCACCATGGCCACTGGGGAGAACTGGGAGTTGTAGGACTTTTTTCTGTTTAAATATGCATAGGACTGTACCCTAAGTGCATATGAACTTGGAAAGAACACCCTCCTGCAGAAATAAGGCAATTATCTGTAATTCCTGAAGTAGGCAAAAGTATACATTCTCCCAGTAACCAACCAGCATCTTGTTAGAAACCTAAAAGAAGGACATGAATGTAATAGCACCCCCTCAACCAAGTGCCCAGGCAACTAGTATGAACAGAGGTGAGTCAGTTCAGGCGATCTAAGATCCAGTTTTGTCATGTTCCACCTAGATCCTCCCAGGGGTCACATGAGAGAAGTTAGAACAATAAGGCATCCATAGCTATTATGGAGCACCAAAAGGGTTACAATTAGCTTGCAATTAAGTTTGTACTACTCTGGACACCACTGTGTTTTCATGTATAGCAGCTTCTCATTGCATATATAAATACCAGTGAATACCAGAAGCATGCTGAAATGTGGCACATTTGGTTATTGTGAATTACCATGGAAAATCAACAATTTGTTCTAAGGTTTCATTTCAGTATTGCTTCTTGTTATGTGTGAAGCCAGTTACTATGCCTTTCAGTAGTTTCCCCATTTCATCCAATGAGCTTGGTGGCAAGAGTGGTCACCATGGCTGCTCCAGCCACCATTTTCCAGTACCCTCTTCACCTAGCAATGGCTGAGTTGCAGGCTGACAGGTCACTGATTGGCTCTCCCCCATGCCCCCTGTCTTCCCTCCCAACGTGTGTGCCCCTATATACCTGGCCAGCCCACTACAACCAGGCCTGCTGCCTGGCTGATTACTCACCTTGTGCACCTCTCTGCCACCCTTGTGCCTTCACTCACTTGTAAGGCTGGCATTGCTCCTCTCACACATGTCTCAGGGAGATCACACAGACATGTGCATTCACATGACCTGCATCATGTTGAACAGATGAGGGGTAGGGGTGACATATGAGATGGGCAGTTAGTCAGGCTGCATGCAACGTAGGTGATGAGCCAGGTGGAGGTAGCAGGACAGGCTGGACATCAGGGAGTACATGCTGGGAAGGAGGACAAGAAGCAGCAACCATGGGGCTGCCTGTGCTACTTTAATGAATAGACAGGGAGTCCGTGGAGCAGGAGAAAAAAATGGGGGAGAGGCAGGGGATGCAGGCAGGAGTAGTGTACACTGGCATTGGTCCTCAGCCATGAGGCCTGATGGGGTGCATGCCACTGTTTGGAGGGAAGACAGAGACTCCTCATGGGTAGTTACCTCAAGAATGTGTGAACCTAGAACACAAGGTGAGAAAGGTAACTGAACAGCCTCACTGAGATGACTGAAACCTAAGTTAGTCTTGACTAACTTTAGTCACATTGATTTCAGTTGGTCTATTCTATTTAGGACCAACTAGATGCAACCCTTGATAAAGAGCAATTACATCATGAGAAGGCATGACTCACCAGAGAAGACAATCATGCTAGGGAAAATCAAAAGCAAAAGAAGAAAAGGAAGACCAAGTATGAGATGGATTCCTTCCTTCCATAATGGAAGCCTTGAACTTAGAAGAGCTTAGCAGTGCTGTCAAGGATAGAACATTTTGGAGGCCTTTTATTCATGGAGTCACTATAAATTGAAAATGTCTTGCCAGAACATAAAAATGTTTTCTTTTTCTTCATGGCTTGTTGCATGTCCTTGACTGAATGCCCATTTCTGTTATTTTTGAAAATAGGAGTTCAGGAGTGTTTTGAATATTGTGTCACTATGAGATTTTGTAAAAACTGTCTGAATATATGGCATAGTCAGTGCCCAAAGACTCGCTATATTCTCAGAGGAAAGAACTCTAGCTGCATTTAATTCAGTTTCAGCATAGTCCTGTACATGCCTACTCAAAAGTAAGTCCCCATGATTTCAATGTGACTTACTTTCAGTGAATGAAAGATTGTAAACTCAGTCATCTAAAAGCTGAAATGCCTGATAAAATCTAAGAGTAACTGGAAAGAAGAGCCTTCAGGCTATTGGGTGGTATAAAATGTTATAAATAAATCATACTTTCATATTCTTTTTTTCTAAGTGTTGACCTGGAAAATTATATAGTTACATTTCCTAGTTACACAAACACATTTAAGTAGAGCATGAGAGAGGAAGAAGAATATATGTATTGCAAATAAAAGTAGTTATTCTAAGGGAAAATCTGAGATGAAACAGACCAGTGTTAAAAGGTGGGGAAGCATGTCAGCACAATGTTGAAAGATAGCAGAAAAGAGATTTATAGAACCTTGGGGGTCAAGCAAATGCATTTGATTCTGTTCCAATAGATTTTCTACAAGGGGGGAAATAATACTTAAAAGAGTGAAATTTTAATTTTTTAAAGAAAGTCCCCTTATGAGTGTGGTAAACTTCAAACTAATACAGTATTTACAATTGTGGGTGCCACTGAGTAGCCAAAGGTCTGGTTCTGCATGTATTTGTTCTTCCATTTCTCAAAGCAGTCACATGGATTTTAAATGCAACTGCCTCCTTTAATGCTAAGCAGGCAGTTCTGAAGTGACTACATTAATTAATGTGATTTACAATAAAATCCATTCTTCAGATTTGAAAGTAGGAGGGAAGAAATATTTCTGGGAAGATTATCCTAGTCATGAGCTCTGGGTTTCTATTGTACTTGTATGACAATAGCACTTAATTTTACTGAAATGCTGTGGGTTGTAGCAATTGTCTTTGAGGGAAAATGCATTTAAAAATAAAGTCATAACTTTTAGTTTAATTATAATGAACAAACTGAGTTGCTTGGAAGCATCTTGTATGAATCATTAATCATGGAGTTCTAGATGTTTTCTAGCATAAAAAAGTTCTTCCTTGTTGATCCACCCTAGTTCATGTTTACCTGGTAGTACATGCTGCTTACAACCCTGCTTAAGTGAACTGTCAGTGAGGTCTAGCTGTTTGAATGTGGAGAAGGGCTGGCTGCACAGGATTCCTTGGAGAAACAGGAAGAAATGTTCCCATCATGATTTTTGTAGCTGCTGTCTTAATGGTGTATTTCCACAAAGTCAGGCGTTCATTCTTCTGGAAAGTTAGGAAGCCCAGTGACAGGGCCAATCATCATTTTGATAAAAGTTGTTACTTTGCACTGAGCTTAGGAACTCTTGCTTGAAAACTCAGAGAAATGGGGGACCTACTTTCCCCCTGCTCTTAGAGGAGTGGTGAGGATGGTTTTCTATGTGCTGCAACCCTTTGGAACAGCACGACTGGCACCAGACACTACCCTGAGTCCACTGCAGAGCACAGTGTCTCAAACAACCCTCCCTTTGGCATGAGGGAAAAGGAAGGCCAATGATTCCCTTCAGAGCCAAGCCCAAAACCAAAACGTGGTCTTGTGGAGGATGAAATTCCTTTCAAATAAATTGGGAACTGGCTGGAGGAGAGAATATGCAAGCGTGTTCTTAAGATACCAAGATACCACTTACTTGCCAATCTAAAATAATCCTAAAAGGTTCTCTATCACTTCCCTAAATTGAACCATTCATTGGCTTAATTTAATGTAAAATCAACTTCTACTATTTTAGAAAAAGCAACCATCACCACAACTTCATGGCTGTTTTCATGCTTTCTTCTTGATTGTTGTTGCACTGAAACTTTTCTATAGCATTCTCTTTTCCTTTTCTTTTTTCTTACTAGCCTTAGCTATTCTGTCACAGGATCTGCCACTTGTTTACTTGAACCTGCTGTAAGTCAGTTTTCTCCTTTTTTAAAAAACTTTATTGAGCTGTTTGTGCATGCTTATAATTAGGCCTGCTTCTGTGAAATAGCAAATTAACTTCCATGGCCTAATGTTCTCCTTGAACTTACACAGTGGGAAGAAATGTTTATTTACTATCAATTTTTTGTTCTGCCACCATAGGAAGGAAAAGTATTAGTGCAGTCCTATGCACATTTACACACAATAAAGCTTACTCCAAGACAGGTGGGCATAAGATTACAAGCATAATATAATTTGAGGTTTGAAAAGTAGGTTGCTTACCTGTAACTGTCGTTCTTCGACAGTTCTTCAATTGGTCATCTGTGCATTCACACATGGGGGCTGTGCAGTGCAGTGCAGCGCAAGGCCTAGAGGAGAGAAAATTCCATAGGTGAGCATCACAAAGTGGGTTGGAGCCCCCCTCCCTTCCCCTTTTGGATTCTACGATAAGGGGGTGTGCCAGGTTTGAACACTGGTATAGTTGGGCAAGTCAAAGTGTGGAGAGTGATTAGATGTAGAGAAGGAGCCCAGTTCTTGCATATTATAGTCTGTTCACGTAGATTTGTCAAGTCCTGAGACAGTGGAGTGGCAGAGGTAGGCAGATGTCTTGGCAGCATCAAGGTCACCTAGTGAAGATTCTCAGGCAGAACATGAGAACCAGCCTCCCTTGTAAAAGGAAGGAGACACTTCAGAACTGGCAGGGAAGCAGATTGGAAGGGAGTCTCTCTATCTGGTAAGGAGATGACAAATGAATAGAGCAGATTAAGAAGTATTCAGTATTCCAACTAGCCATGAAGCAACAGGAGGGGCCCTGAAGGTGGAGTCAGAATCTTTTCAGAAGAGAAAGGAAGGAGCAAAAGTTTTGGGTTTGGTTTGGATTCAACCCTGTACATGGCCTGATGTTTCTCTCACATCTCAAAGAGAACAATTTGATTAACACAGTTTTGTAACCTGTTAAGCTTTAGTAAAAGGATTGTGCTGCTAAAGTTTCATCTGATTCTGCTGGAGTGGAAAAAAGGGGGGGAGAGAACTGCTAATGATGTTAGGCGATAATTTGGGTGTTTGCTGCAGAGATTGTGAACCATAGTCTCACTACTGTGGTGTAACAAATCTGCCATGTTTAGCTGCTTACCTTGATACAGGGCATGACAAAATACAGGGTTGTATTTGGCATCATGTGTGAATTTAGCTTTAAGCAAATGGTTAAAATCTGTACCAAACTTGATATCAGTCTTTTCATGGAGGTTATGTCAGAATAATCCAGCCATGTCCAGGAGATGAGCACAGTAACATCACTCTTGAATGATCTATATACCCATGTAGAAAATAATGACAAACCTCGGTTTAATTTTTAACATAAAATCCGATTTGAATCCAAGCTAGAAAAGTAATTATATTTAGAGCTGGAATGGTGCAGAAATGCTTCTGAATTTCCAGGCAGTAGCATCAGTGCTTCATGTTTCTGTCTTGGTGCTTTCTTAACTAGGTAAGCAAATTAGAAATGAACACCGTTGACACTGGAATCTGTACACACACGCACACACCCTCACTCTGTAGTCCATCACTGTATCTGTTGGCCACATAGTTCTAAGTAAGTTTTGTGCCTTTCATCTCTTGGGACTAGTTTAATTCTCACAAGGGGCAATCCTCTGCCTGTTTAGGCAAAAAAAAAAAAAAAAAACCCTACAGAAGACCCAAGCAGCTTCTCTAATTTCTAATATTGTCCACTCATTCTAGCTTACTTCTCAGTCTGCAGCAGGCAGTCATTCTAACCAATTGGGAGAAGATGGAGTAGTTTCCCTTGCAGATGTTGGATGGATTGCTGAAGAAGAAGCAGAAGGTGAGGTGTGTACACGGCTCAGGTATGTTTCTCAAGGTTTTTCCACTGTATTTATTTAAATCAAGATGAGTCATGGGAGGAAGCAGTGTCTTAAACTAATCACATATTCAACTAACTGGCAAGTATTGCTGTTGAGCGAATAAAGTGCCTACTGAAAGAATAGGGAATGAACAGTTCAAAGGTAGATGCTTGCAGTACTTGTATATCTGGTGTGGTAAGCTTCACCGAGGTAGCAGGGATGACACCTTCCATTCTGGGTCCAGATTGTATCCCTCTGACAGTGATCTTTACTCCTTGGGGGTGGTGGGGAAACAGTCTTACAGAACCAGCACACCCAGGCCAGGGTAGATTCTCAGGTCACCTTGCCCTCTGGCACTTCTCTCACCTGGAAGACTGGGTCTTCATCTCAAATCAGGTAGTGCTATTTCCAGTGCTCTTACATAAATTCAAGCAAGGAGGCACTTACACCAAGGCTTTCCATGATGAGACCATGAAGCCATTCTGTCAGGCCTAGAAGGTTCTTGGGTGGACAGGTTGTCTCATCAGGGTGGTTTTAGTACTCCAGCCCTCCAGGTGGGAGCTCACCAGCAGAACTTACAACTAGAAAAGAGCTTCAGAGCTATATTTAATATTTCTCTAAGCTTGGAATGAAGTAGCAGTTTCAGTTCATGAAAGGCTTGTCAAGAAGTGGTATTTAAATATCTTTCTGAATATCTTCTTAAGATAAATAGCATTTAGTTCAGCTGTAAAGCCTAGCAATGCCAAAGGACAACAAAAGCACATTCATCACAGCATGAGGAACAAAATACAATTTTAATGAAGTTCACAAAAGCGTCTTCAAACTTTATTGGCATAATCCTGAATCTAAAACCACTCAGTTTAGCTTTTATGCTCTTTTAAAGGTGCTATTTAACAGTTGTAAAGGTCTCTTTACCTAACAGTTTGCAGAATCAACCATAATATTGCTTTGTCTCAGCTTGTTTAATAATGGGGTTTATGCTAGTAAGCAATACTTTGTTTCTTGATTATAGATCTGGGTTTTGGCCAAAATCCCAACAATTCTCTAGAGGTGAAGGCTGCTCAGGAAAAAACGCAAATATTCAAGGACTCTTGCCAGAACAGTCACAAGGAAAGGAAGACTGCAAGACTGCAGTGGCTTCAAATGATGAAGCTCTGAAGAAAATCAATGCATTAGAAAATGAGCTTGCCAGTTTAAGAGCACAAATCGCTAAGATTGTAAGCTTGCAGGAACAGCAAAATTTGACAGCAGGTATTAAGTTGTCCATTTTTACTTTAATACTCAAGTTAATTGTATGTCTCTTCTTTTTAGATGGTCCTTGTTACAAGGACTACTGTAGGGTACAAGTAATGTTAGTATTGTACATGGTGACCTGCAGAAAATGAGTGGCAGGTTGTTCTTGCACAGATAGTGGATTATTAATGATTTCTCAAACATTGCAAAAGTGCTAGATTCAACTGCTGTGTTATCTGACTTCAGTTGATTTGAGTCAACAGATGCGGAATGGCAATTCTTGAAAGAAAATATACCCTCTCACTGTTCTGACATCTGAAAACAATTTTATAAAAGTTTTATAGTTAATGCATTTATGATGTCAAATTATCCCTTACCTAACTTGCATTAGTAACTGCTGAATGTGAACTGACAGCCTGTCATGAGGAAGGTGTACACGAATTGCATTAACCACTTGTTTTGCATTCACTTTCCTTAGTCCCTTTTTAATAACATACTCAGAAAATAATGTATTCTCCACATGACAGTGGAGGGTATTGGAAGGACAGCAGGAAGGGAAAAACTTGTTTCCCAGCTAGCAAGGGTTTTAGAGCTTAACACATTTTCTGGCAGCCTTCTGTGACCACTGCCAAACTCTGTACATTCTGTTGTCAGTTGTAAAGCACTTTTAAAGAGTTTGGGTATGTCACATTTATCAAAGTTTATAATCTTTCTATTACTGAAGACTCTGCAGTTCTGATATCCCCGTTAACATTTCAGTGTTGATGTTTTTACAACATTCTTTCACTTCTGGCTGTAGTAGTTTTAATATAAAATACACTGAACAGAAATTGCCCTGTTTGTTCAGTGTCAATAGGCATTAACTAGAGAATGGAATTTAAAGGCCTTTTGATATCCAATTACTCTTCCAAAGTTTTCTTCTCTTAAAAACGATGCTATAAACTTGAGAAGGATATGCATGCTATCTGCAGATCATTGTCATGACCTAAGCACTAACTTCCAAAGGGTAGGCTTACTGGCTGTGCCTGCATTGCCATGAATCCTTGGGTACTTAACTAGGGAATAGGATGCATAATGTCGACTAGCATGGTGGCAATATACATATTTGCAGTAGGACAAGGGATGTCGGCATATTCATCCAGATCGGAGATATTAAATGTTAGAAGGAATATCTTCTGTTGCTTTTATGTATTGGAGTGGAAGGCATGAATAACAGAGGCATAGGACTGCATCCAGTGCTGCCTGGGCAGTATTCAGTGTTGCCTGTGTGCAAGTGGGATCTAATGCTAATGTAACAGCAAGCTAGCAGGTCCTGCAACAAGCTGAAATGAGTTTGATGCATTTCCATTCATTACCAGGATTGCTGTCAGAACAATGAATTCTTGTTGCATAACTAGTGGATTCTACCAACACAACAGAAAGAGCAGGAGCATAGTGACAGTATTGGATATTGCCTGGTGTGCAAGAACTGACTGTTTGCAAGATACTGTCCTAAATTGATAGTCACTTTGCTGTACTGCGGTTCACTTTTAAAATGGTGATTGCTCTTTACTGAATAAAGGTTGTGATATGTTTAAGTGTACAATTGTGTTACAGCTGGAATAAGTTCTGCTACATCAGCTTCTATCCCACCGCCGCCACCACCACCACCACCACCTCCACTTCCACTCCAGCAGAGTGCCTCTGCCATTGACCTAATTAAAGAACGTAAAGGAAAAAGAATAAAATCTGGACAGACTTTGATAGATGATCCAAAGAAGCCTGAAATGCCAAATATGCTAGATATCCTCAAAGATATGAACAGTGTCAAGCTGCGGTCAGTGAAAAGGTGAATGCATGTGCATTGCTCTCTCTTCTGCCCAGGATGGTGGCATGGGGTGGAGTTAGGGGGTGAAGGGAGTTAAAACTCTTTACTGTAACTCAGTTCTTGCTTAGCATGGAGAGTAACACAGATACTTCCCTGCTTGATCATGGTGAATTGGCTCTGCTCAGATGCCATCAGTCACTTGCACTGTGACACAGTCTATTAAACTAGGTGGAATAACTTGCTTCTCTTGCAATAGCCCTTCACATCCCTTTAAGCCAGGAGGAATACTGTGGCAGTATTACAATGAAAGATAATTGCTCTCTAAGATGAGAAGTACTGTGATTACATTTATTTCATATTTCCAGTGACTTGGTGCTATACCATATAAGGGTCCTGAAGCAGAGCTGCAGCACACTTACAAGACCTCAGGTTAGGAACAGAACAGGAGATGAAAACAGTATGGAGGGAATCCATCTATTTGCAGCCATTCAAAGTTTTCATGACTTAAAGCTTTCTTTATTCCTTTGAAGACCAGATGAAAGCACAAGAAGAAAAACAGCTGACCCAATAGATCCTGCAGCCTTGATAGCTGAAGCTCTTAAGAAAAAATTTGCCTATCGATATCGGAATGATGGCCCAAGTGAAACTGAAAAACAGAGCTCAGCATCTGAAACAAGGCTGGTAAGTGCTTTGCCTAAATACTAGGGCTGTTCACATGTAACAGGAATGATTACTGCACAGTTACCTTGCTTGCCTTATGTCCTGTGCTCACACATTTCTGAGGTAACTACTCATGAGTAGTCTCTGCACATTGGCCTTTCCTCCAAATGATGGCATGCATCCCATCAGCCCCCACAGCTGGGAAGCAATCCCAGCACACACCACTCCTGCCTGCATTGCCCATCTCTCCCCGTTGGCCCACATACTCCCTTGGGTATGTTTTCAGCCAGTCACCACTGTTTCCCCCTCCTGCTCTACAGTGCCTCTGTTTACTCCTTGGAGTAGCACAGTGGCCCCGCAGCCACATGAGAGCAGCAACAGCACACACAGCTGCCCCCTGTCGCTGCTGTTGGATGTGCTATCTATCTTCCCAGTGCATGCTCGTGATACCCAGCCACCCCCTACTCACCTGTCGGCCAGGTTGTCCTGCTCACACAGTGCCTGGTCACTCGCTGAGATGCCTGGCTCATGCAGCAGTGTCACGCCATTGCCTCCGAAGCACCCGATCTGTGTGCGCTGTCCTCCAACTGTGGCTGATACAATACTGGCAACACATGACCAGATACAGTAGCACCTACCAGTAGGAGAGGACATTTTGTACCAGTTGCATTTCCTGAATCATCTTTAAAGGCAGCTTCATGTAGAGCACATTAATCTAGCCTTGGGTGTCAGTTCTGAGTTCATGCACTGCTAGAGTGTACAGGGTTAGTTTATAACATTATTTCCAATTTGCAAATACTTGTACTTATTCTCATTTCACAGTTTGGGCCACACATGCTGAAGACTACAGGAAAAATGAAGACTCTAATTGAAAACACTTAAGCAGAAAAAGGACTCTACGAAGGACTCTTTCAAGTACCGTTTTGAGAACTAAGTCTGTTTTTGTTTTTATTTGTTTTCGTTTGTTTTTGTTTTGTTTTGGATCAAGGGGTCTGAATTCAATTGTGTCTCTAACTTCCACTAGTGATAATTCCAAGAAAAAAACTTTGGTAAAGCAATTTTTTACAGAAACATCCATAACGGTATGGAATTATTAACAACAGTAATTTATCTCTACAGATAGTCTACAACAGCCTTAAAAAAACTTGTTTGTAAAAAGTTACAGTAATTAACTCACTGTAGCTCAGGTGTAATAACTGCAATAATATTTTATATATTTCATTTTAGCTTCTTGGCCGTCTCATTCTGAACAATTCCTATGTTTGTACTATATTCTCAGCATCTTTAATTGAAGTTTACAGGGCCAACCTAAACATTTTGCTAACTTTAGTGTAAATGTTTGCAGCCCCAATTCTGATAGGCACCATGAGCCACAATTTGGGGTGTGACCATGGCAGTGCAGGAGGGAGAGATTTAAGGTTCCCCCTCCCATTTTTGGCCCAATCCTCCCCACAGAAGTGGGGGAAGGAATCCCCATGGCCTCTTTTTTTAACTTCTACCCCCAGGCAGGGATGGAATTTCAGGCAAAAATGGGAGGAAGAAAGTGTAAATTCCCTCTCCCAAATCTCTGTGGCCAGATTGGAGCTATGCAGTTACATTCAAGTCAGCAGAGCTATGCATAATTAGCAGAACATTCAGTATTGCTCACAGACTTCACTGAAGCTCCCCAGCCTCTGATCATATGCTATGAAGGAGACAAGCTTCAAAACCTTATTACTCAGCAAAAGAGACTTCAGAACGTCATATGCCTTGTATAACAAACTTTCAGTAAAGGATCCCTGTTCTGTCTTCAACACACATGCTACAGTGGCATATTTATAGGCAACACACTAACCAAAGTTCAAACTCTATTTTTGTACAAAACTATGTTTTGTATTATTGATTGTCTTGCAGAAGAATAGTACTTAACAGAAGATCTGGAATACTGCATATTGTAATTAACAAATTTTGGAAACTACATCAGGTGACATAAGCTACCAGTAAAGTATATGTTTAGCTTTGCAGGTTTGATACCAGACCTGAAAAATCAAGATAGCAGCACCCAATTGACTTTTTCTCTAATTTGTACTAGGTGCTTGCCATCTCTAGTGTCTGTACCAGTAGCTTAACTACTACTGGTTTCAACCTGCTTACTAGTATTTACAGCAGTTTAATGCAGAGCTGAACAATGCTCATTTTCAGAAGTACTTTCTAAATGTAACCTAACCTAAGGCCTCTCAGTTGGAACTTTTTAGCGTTTTGTGAGAGCTTGTTTTAGGAAACTGTTACTTGAATGACTCATAGTAATCTGGTAAAATAGGTTGCTAATGTTACAAATTTAATTTATGCTTTATGTGCTGTATTCATTTTTCATTTTAAGGTGTTATAATAAACTTAGTTGATGGTCTTTTTTTAATCTGACCAAAAATTCTCCAAGATGTTTGAAGTCCTCTTCCAAAGTCATTAGTATTTAATCCTACACCACCAATACAAAATTGAAATAAGAACTGATTATCGACTCTTTCTTTCAAAATTAGCAGGTGTGCACTTAGGTCATTCCCATAGGGTCATTTCCTGGTTTAGTGTTGGAGGTGGCTGCTGCAATTACTCTGGAATTAGTATCTGAAATATCCAATGTTTAAAGTGACAATCCTTAACTCAGAGGGACTTCTGTGTGTGAATGTTGCACTGAGCTGTATTCTTCCATCTGTTAGTTTTCAAGGTAGGGAAAGGCAATGGGGTGCCCTCCAAGTGTTTGGGACTACATTTCCCATCATTCCCAGACAGCATTATCAATGGAGCTTATGGGAAATGTACTTCACTGGAGTTGCCTGACTTGCTATTAGCTGCCACAAGATTTTTTTTTTTTTTGGCTGCAGCAGACCAATAAGGCTAGCCATCCATAAATTAACAGATTAAGCTCCCTGTACTATTTTTAATCAGTATTGGGAAAATCCCTGCAATCTTGTTTCCCAGTAAACAACAAATGTTAATACTTTCCATTCTTATAAATGACTGATGGCCAGGTATAATTTTGAATAGAGCTTTCAAGTGTTTACAGTATTTCTTGTATATTATCTGGATACAATGCAGTATAAAACTGTTGAAAGGCACTGAGGCTAAGGAGGAGAGAGTGAGTAGAAAGCGATGGATTGCACCTTACAAAGAAAGGATGTACTTGGCCACAATATGAAGTTTATCAGGACTTTAAACTGAATTCTACAGGGGAGACATACATCTGGGTGCAACTTCAATTGACAAAGGATACTGCAACAGTGAAAAGAACTCTAGCTGGGCCTAACACTAGTCTCACAAAAAATGGAAAAGCAGCCAGGGAATACTTCAAGTGGCCTTAGATAGCTTTACACCACTGCCGAAAGTATGGGACACAAACAACATGAACTTTAATTCTTAGTACACGTGGGCAAATATGACCTGATAGGCATAACTGAAGCTTGGTGGGCTGATTCCCTTGAATGGAATTCAAAAAAACAGGTTGCTTACCTGTAACTGATCTTCGAGTGGCCATCTATGCATTCACACACATGGGTGCTGCACCTGCGCAGTGCCTAGGCTGGAAAGATTGAATGCTAATGGTTTTTGGTGGGAAAACTCCGTTCCCTTCCCCCTTGGTAGCATATATATAGAGCGGAGTGTCCGCCATTTTCTCCAGTCTTTGGAGACTGAACGTTCGCCACCTCATGGAGAAAGATGGTATAACAACCTATCAGGTACCGCCATATCCCCTTCTGGTACTGATGCCATAAAAATATGAGGTACCGAAGCAGTATTATACAGTACCAATGACGAAACCACTCACTGACACTGAGCGGGGCCGGCGGGTGGGTTGTGTGAATGCACAGATGGCCACTCGAAGAACATCAGTTACAGGTAAGCAACCTGCTTTTCTTCATCGTGGCCTCTGTGCATCACACATATGGGTGACTAGCAAGCTTTACCAGAAATGGTGGTGGGTGGTGTCGCTATTGTAGAATGGCAGAAAGAACAGCCCTCCCAAAGGAACAGTCTCTTTTGGCACGCACATCAAGGCTATAGTGCTTTGCGAAAGTACAAGGCATAGCCCAAGTTGCTGCTTTACAGACATCCTGGATTGGGACACCCGCAGCGAACACAGAGGAAGCCTTCACCGCTCTAGTAGAATGGCCCCTTGGAACAACAGGTAAGTCCATCTTTGAAAGTTGGTACGCCAATGAAATGGTTTGAACAATCCATTTCGACAGCCTCTGAGACGAAACAGGTGATCCCTGGTCCCGCTCAGAATACTTTACAAAAAGCCTATTGGAGCGTCGAAGAGACTCCGTGCACGATCTATAAAAGGCTAAGCATCGTCAAACATCCAAGGTATGCAAGGACCTCTCGATTGGGTTTGACGGCGATGGAAAGAAAGCAGGTAGCACAATTTCTTGGTTCAGGTGAAATGGTGTGACAACTTTAGGTAAAAAAGTTGGATCCATCCTCAGGACCACCTTTTCCTTATGGAAGTTTAAGTAAGGTGGATCAATTCGAAGAGCATAAAGCTCACTGGCTCTATGAGCTGAAGTAACAGCAACAAGGAAGGCCGTTTTCCACGAAACAAGACGCATATCGACAGTGGCTAAGGGCTCAAACGGTGGTTTCATAAGCGCCTGAAGGACAACCAAGAGGCTCCATGTCGGCATAACCGGCCGAACAGACGGATAGAGATTCTGCAGTCCTTTAAGAAATTTCCGAATAAGCGGCTGCAAAAACACTGACAATCCTTGTACTGTACCTCTATAATGTGACAGTGCAGCTACATAAACCTTAATTGAGGAAGGTTTCAGTCCCGAGAGATGCAGGTGCATCAGAAACTGAAAAATATTCTCAGCCGATGCCACAACCAGGTTAAATGAGCTAGATTCCACAAAGGATGAAAAGCAGCGCCACTTCGCTGCATAGGGCTTTCCAGTTGACAGCCTTAGTGCAGACTCGAGAATCCTTACAACGTCCAGATTGAGGGAGCTTGGTCCCGACAACATTCCCATTGGTACCAAGTCAGTGAGGGGGTCAGACCGGTCATGAGTTGAGGTACCGAGTGATCTAGTAGATCTCTGTCCCGAAACAGTCTCTTGGATCAATGAATCCTCCACACAGTGAGGTTCAACAACGACAAGTCCGGGTGACAGACAGTGCTGTTTTGCTGGGTTAGTAGATCTTGAGTGGTCGGAAGATGAAGGAACTTGCCGTCCAAGATCCAAAGGACAGTGGAGAACCATGCCTGACAAGGCCACCAAGGTGCTTTGAGTATTCCTGTGGCATCGTCATGCACGATCTTCGAGATGACTTTGGTCAGTAGAAGAATAGGTGGGAATGCGTAAAACCTGAGATTTGTCCATGGGATTATAAGGGCATCCCCCATCGATTCTGGTCCTATTCCCACCCTGGAACAGAATCTTTTGCACACCTTGTTCCTGTGGGTAGCAAATAGGTCTATGTCCGAATGTCCGCACAGTTGGAACAATTGAATGCAGATGTGGTGATTCAGTTCCCATTCATGGATGACTGACATGTGCCTGCTCAGGGTGTCTGCCTCTTCGTTGTCGGTCCCGGCCAGATGGACCGCCAAAAGGGTTATACCTCTCGGGATACACCACTCCCAAATGTCCATGGATAGGTGGGCTAGAGCGGTGGACTTTGTTCCGCCCTGTTTGTTGATATAGAATACCGCCACTATGCTGTTGGACGTGATTTGTATCACTTGGTGGCAAAGAGCTACTTCGAAGGATCGGAGTGCCTTGAAAATTGCTAGTAGCTCAAGGTAATTTATGTGGCTCAACGATTATTGGTGGTTCCACATGCCCTGGGATTGAAGCCCCGCACATACCGCACCCCACCCAACCAGCGAAGCATCGGTGTACAGAGACATTGTCGGGTGAGGGGTGATGAAGGGGGTCCCCACGTTTCAATTGGCCGGGGATACCCACCAAGTCAATGTTCGTGAAACAGCGCGGGGCATATGAAGTAGTTTGTTGGGTGAATCTCTTTGTGGATGAAAGTTCTTGTTGAACCAGAGTTGAAGAGGACGGAACCTCAACCAGGCATGAGGGACAATGGCGACTGTGGCAGCCATGTGACCCAAAAGTCTTTGTATTGAGAGCCCTGTCACTATGCGGCTTTGTCGAATCCGAGAGATGCAGATGTGGAGGCTGTCCTGACGAGCTTGAGGGAGGAATGCCCTTGCTACCGTGGAATCGAGGCAAGCTCCGATGAAGTCTATCACCTGTATAGGGACAAGGGATGATTTTTCACTGTTAATGCAGAGTCCAAGATTGTCCAACAGTATGCAAGCAGCCTGAACAGCTGACAGCAGGGTTTCACGTTTCTGTGATACTATAAGCCAGTCATCCAGGTAAGGGTAGACTTGGATGCCTGAAGGCGAAGGTGAGCACAGACTGGTGCCATACATTTCGTGAAGACCCTCGGAGCCATGGCCAAGCCAAACGGAAGGATATTAAACTCGTAAATGTCAGTTCCGACGGTAAAACGCAGAAGACGCCTATGACTTGGATGAATCGAAATATGGAAATAGGCATCTTTTAAGTCAAGGGAGGTGAACCAATCCTCTCTCCTCAGCAGTGGAAGTACATTTTGAAGGGTAGTCGTCTGAAATTTCTTTGGTTTGATAAACTTGTTGATATTTCAGAGGTTCAAGATCGGACGAAGACCACTGTCCCACTTCGGGACCGGAAAATATCTGGAATAGAATCCATGAAACCCTTCGGAGCTGGAGACCCGTCGAATTGCCCCCTTACAAAGCAGTTGTTGCACTTTGTTCACTAACACTGGGGAGCGCGGTGTAAATCGAATCGGGCTCGACGGAGGAACAGTATCAAATTCTATTCTGTATCCAAGCTGAATGATCGACAGGACCCACCAATCAGATGTAATGGATTCCCAAATGGGGAGTCGGCCTTGCAGCCATTCCCCAAAGGGAAGGGGGAAGGGTGGGTATGGAGGTGGAGGAGATGTTTGCCCGTCCCATCAGCGTTGATGCTTCTCGGTATCGAAACGTCGACGGTTTTGCGGGAAACGCTGATGAGGTTGTTGTCTTCTGCGTTGCGGCCTTTGTTGGTACTGTTGTTGCGGCGGCTGGTAGCGGTAGGGCGGACGCGACCAAGACCACTTACGTTTGAGCTGTCCGGGCAGTTCCATGCATCTAGTTGTCATCCAGGATTCATGGATGGACTTTAGTTTGTGATCGGTGTGGGAGTGAAAAAGCCCCACTTAGAAGAAAGGGCATTTCTTCTATTCGCCACTTCATTTTGTCAGGGAAGTTGCAGTTTCGCAACCAGGTATGCCTTCTTAGTAAGACACCCCCACAAGAGCTCTCGAGTCCATATCCACATGGTGGCGTGCTGTGGATAGTTGTTGAATGGCAACTTGCATCCCCTCTTTAATGAAGGTTCTGGCAAGATCCCGTTGTTGTTCAGGCAGGGGAGCAACAACATTATTCAGCCTCTGCATAATAAAGA